ATCTTTAAGGAGGTGCTCAACATCATAGACTCATAGCTATGGCAATGCAAGTGGTGGAATGGGCTAGCCGCCCTGAGTATGATCCCATCCGAGACCACTGGTACATGTCTATTTTTAGCATGCTAGCTCAACTGGAGATAGTGCAGCTATGTTTCCTCAAGCTCGAAATTTCACCTTCTAGCTCCAGCGTAGACATACTCTGAAAGTTAGGATGATCTAGCTGGCAGATAGGGTAATGAAATTGAACTCAGGCGATCTGGGATGAATATGCAACTCTGCCACAGAATTCCTAGGTGACCTTAGGCAACTCACATCATATATCTGGTGCCTCAATTTCCTCTCTATAAAATGAGGATAATATCTACCGAACACAGGAGTGTTGGGACGATAAAATCCATTAATGATTCTGAAGGGCTCAGATTCCACTGCAACAAGAACTGTATAAGTTACTAGATAGGAAATATGGGGAGCAGCACTTTTTAAAATCCCATCCTAAATAAATAACTACAGAAAAAGTCTGAAGTAAAAACGTGCTATGCATTAATTTCATTTTAGCACAAATGTGTCAGCCTCAAAAGCTTCTCATTCTTTCACATCATCAAGATAACAGAGCAACAGGCCCATTAGAAATACAGTATCTACATAGAGTAGATTAAATCCAGCTACCTCTCTCCCTATACTCATTCTGATGGCAATGATGTTCCATTCACCTTTATACCCGAAATGAACATTTACAAGCATGGTCTTGTGCCCCTTAGTTGACTGTTTTTATTTCTATCTCTCTCCAAGTTTTTGTCTTCCTTGAATAAGCTCCTCGCTCACCCCGATATCTAGTGATGGCTAAAGGTGAGCTGCAAACATAATACTCAATCATGCATATTAGGCACTGTCTAGTCTTGGGTGGTGCAGAGCTACACTGCTCCTGGGGGAGCGCTGGATGGCATTATAACTTAGACAGGCATCACTGGCCAAATTCTCCAGTGCAGTTTAGCCACTCAGGTGGACATAAGGCTTCAAGAGAAGCCAATTTGTTCTCTTCCTTCCCCCCCCCCCCACCATCCTGGTGCACGCCCAGAAAGGATTTCCAAAATTTAGCTCAAAAATGTACTCACTTCATTAACTGAGAAAGATGTAGCAAATGTTGCCAATTTCCAAGCTCATAATGTAAATAACAAAGAAAAAGCTTCTTATTTTTGGTTACAACTGTCAAATGTGTGTCCAAATGGCTCCAGTTCCACTTGATGCCACAGCAGACAGCAGATTGAGGAGTCACAACTACCACTGCAGCCAGCCCACTGAGGGTCGGCCAAGTCATTTTAGTGCAGGATATGGCATTGCGTGTAATGGGATTTTTCCGGGTGCAGGGGTGGAGTGGGGCGGGGGTGGAGGATTGTTTTTACTATTGTTTGATCTCCCTTGGAAGACTATGGGTTACCTGTTAGCTCCTGCTGGGTTTACTTGGTAGCTGTCACACCACAGAATTATGCATGTTAGGGTTTTATGCAAAGCCTGGGTCAGCCAATACAGTCAGGGAACCTAAAGAGTCAGGTGAAGTAACTTTTATGTGGTTTCTTTATCTCTTAGCCTAATAATGGGTCATTTAGGACAGAGTTTTGAAATATTTAGAGGTCCCCTTCAAGGGACATTAACACATCTTCAAATTTTCCATCCTACAACAGAAGCCCCAGGTGCTGGCTGCTAGAGTGCAATCTCAACCCTACAACTTTGTTAAAACCTAGGGGAATAATGTCACAACATGCAATAGCTGTGGCTAGCGTGTTATGCTGTTGAGACTTGCCAGAGACCAGTACTAATTCTCAAGATGTCCTGCAGCACTGAAACATCAAATGCAGGCCAAAAAGCAAGCCCCTTGCTTTTGCAATCTTCTTCTAATGTGTGGAGTTTGCATCATCATCATCCTTTGTAAGTAAATTTATTCTTCTGTTTAGGAAATTACAGGACAAAAAGCAAACCTTAGCAAGACACATTCTCTCTCTATCTCATTCTCCTCGTAACACTTGTTGCCTATATATCTTAGAGCAAAATCTTCGCCTTGGATGAACAAAAGAAGGCATGGCGGACTGGCCTGGTGCCAAACAAATGGGAGGTCCCTATGCCATCTTGCCTGTGAAAGGTAGGATAGCTCAGTGGGAGAGAGGGATGTGCTCTAAAAAGGGAGTGTCATGCAACTCCTGTAGAGTCTACAATACACTTCAGATTATGAGCAGGGAAGCTGGTGACCAGACAACACCTCCAAAGCTATCAGACCACAATTCCTTGGTTTTGGAGAACCAAAAGAGCACAGCTTGTCTTCCCCACACTGCAGAAATGAACCTGAAGGAGGAAGAGTTGTCCTGCAGCTTCTCTGCCCCAAGTGCACCTGTGCAACACAAAGCAGGGTTTGGCTGTTATACTGATATCTCCCAAACTCCAAGCTCTTCTAAATGCCCAGAAAAGCAAGATCTTTGGTTGGCCCATCTTAAGGCCCATCATTCTCTTTCATTATCTTAAAACCAAAGCCCAAGGGCCTTCCTGAAAAGTAAGACACACTCACAATCCTGTAGGTCAAGGCTTTCATTTTTAATGTGCATTCTATTAAATCTTCCTGTTGTACTCAAAAGCAGCAGGTATATTACCATGGCTGGCATGTAGTGCTTTTCTACCAGGAGAGTTTTCTTCCCCCACCTCTACACAGGGATCCCCAGCCATCAAAATTTCAAACTTGCTTCAGTAACCATAAATTAACAGGTGAACATCTCAAGGAAAATACTCTTTCTAATCTTACTTACTGCTTCACAGGTAAACTATAGTAGTCAGAAGAGCAAGA